GAGAGCTTGTGGCTCCTGCCGCTCCTGCCTGGAAGCGTCCTGGTAGCAGTAGTCCCGACAGCAGCAGCTTCTCCTAGAGAGTGACGGGGCAGCAAGCGGGGTGTTGGTTAATCCGGACTCCGCTGTACACTTTAAAAGCAGAGCCGCAGCAGGGGTCAGTCCTGGACCTGGTGCAAGCTGGGACTAAGCTGGGCTGCTAGCCAGCCGGCTAAAAAAATTACTGGCAGGCAGTGGTTAAATGCATGTAGTCTATAGCATTAGCCTATAAGCTTTTGCTTATCGGTTAATCAGTTAATCAACTATACTGTAACAGCCTTCATTGGGGGGTTATCTGCAGGCAAGGATTGGCCTGTCTTCCAAAGTTGGTGAGAGTGAGGGATTTATTTCCAGGATAGGCTGTAGATTGTCAATGATGCATTGAAGTGTTTTAAGCTGGGGGCTGTAGAAAGGCTTGACTCATTGAAATACACGTCTGACACTTTTATATCTCATAGCACATGCTAATGAAAATCAGGTAGCACAATGCTTTAATAATACTATGTTTGCAGTGCCAAACTCTTCTGAAGAAATTAGATGAATTAACAATAGGTCTTTTTAATAGATTGGGTGGAACGGTGCTTCATTTCAAGAGCCTTACTTTTTATTATAAGCGCCATCTTCTAAACAACGAGGACAGACATTTCATCTGGGAAAGCAAATGTCAAGCTAAGAATACTGATCTACATATTTATTTGGTGCTAGTGGGGAATATAACCCTAATAAGAGCAGTATGGTCAATTCTTAAATCTAATTTAACCCTGCAGTGATTTTTTGCATTACAAACTTTCTTTTAGGCATGTTTGATGTTTATTAATCTCTTCCAACCAGGAACTTATCCAGTAAAACATGATAAAATTCAAGTAAAATACCAAGATTTTTACAAATTGTTTTCATGTTTTGAATTTAATATAACCTTTCTCATTCATATATTGTCTATTTTATGATAACTCTTGGGATGTTCAGAATTTCCTTGGTACTTTTTAATACTTGGTTATTTTGGACTGTTTGCACTGAAGTGCATAGTAGTGATTTAAGCAGTAGTTTGAGATTTTTCACAACTTGAATAATCAAGATTCTTTTCAGACTATAGCAGATCTGGGTTGGGAGCAATTTATATGACCTCATGTTGTTATTCCAGGTCTTCAGGAGATGTTACATGATCACTCATTTGTTGGTTGTGTTAGTCCTCAGTGGGCCCTGGCACAATACCAGACAAAGCTGTATCTTCTCAATACTACAGAACTCAGGTAAACACTGATTTTATTCTGTTTGGTGTGTCGTTAGGAATTGAAATTGTAGGTGAACATGACTGAGTGGTTAAAAGTATGAAATAATAGAAATGAAGTACAATGGCAAAGTGAAAGGTACATTTCAAAAGCAGCAGAATTGGTGATTTGATGAGCACTCAAATGGGAAAGACCTCAAACTTTTGATCTAAAACTTTCGTATTTATCCTACAAAATTTATAGGCTGCTGCTTTGTAATTAAAATGTATTTTACTATGTTGTGTCCAACTGGCTAAAAACCCAGAGGATGAAAGGAATTCGATTCTACATCATTCCTACTCATACAATCCATTTCAATAGCTAAGTTTAAAATTAAAGTGCTGCCATGGCAGGAGCGCTTGGGAGAGGGTTCTCCCAATGCTCTATTAAACCATCTCCATGACGGGAGTAACTGTCAGCACTGGGAGCACAGCTTAATTCACACTGGTGCTTTCTAGCACTGTAACTTGTGCTTGGTGGGGGGGGGGAGAGTTGAGGGTCTGGGATGAGGCATACCTGGGAGGTCGACAAATGCCTTTGTTGTCGACCACGGAGTGTCCAGACTACCGCCCTGAGCCGACAAACAGCTGATCGGCTCAGCGTGGCAGCCATGTAAATTTAAATGAAGCGGCGATTATTTAAATCGCTGCTTCATTTTCCTATGCCGGGTAGTCTAATCTACATGCCTCTGTCGACAGAGGCATGTAGTCTAGACGTACCCTAAGTGTACTGCTTTTTACCAGAATATGTATATGAAAAAATTAGACAAATGGTCATTTCAATTAAATCTCTTCCTCCCAATCAGCCAAGAACTCTTCTATCAGATTCTTATTTATGACTTTGCAAATTTTGGCATTCTGAGGTTGTCGGTAAGTATAACTTCTCTTCAAATCTTTTATATAGGTTTTGGAGAGAATAAAGAGATATAAAAGTTTTAACCTCACATACAGGGTAGGGATGTAATAGTGTAGTCGATTACATGCTATAGACTATATGCATTTCTCTCTCCCTGCCAGTAAATTTTTTAGCAGTCTGGTCAGCAGCGTGACTCAGTCCCGGCTTGCAACAAGTCCAGGACTTACCCCTGCTGCAGTTCTGCATTTAAAGTGCATTAGGAGCCGGGCAGGCAGGCAGCCTGGCTCAGTTCTGGCTTTCCCTGGGTTTTGGAACTTAGACCCCGCCTAGACAAGGACTGCTTCCACCCCAGACTGCTGCATCTTTCTCAGAAGCAGAAGGTCAAGGTCCCTGAGGGGAGCTGTTTTTTAAATTGGCTCCCTTTGCAGACTAGCTCCCGCCTGGCACTCCGTACTGCTGCTTCTGATACAGTGGCAGCTGGCTCTGCCCTGGGGGATACTAGAATGGTCGACAAACCGATAACATTTCATAAGGTTACTCGACTATTCAATTAACCAATATTTAACATTCATAATACAGGGAACTGGCAGCACATTGTAAATTATGACCACCTTTTAAAAGCTGGTTTAAGTGACTTGCCTAGCATTACGTAAGAACTCTTGGACAGAGATGGAACTGGAATTTTTCTGGCCAGCATTCAGTTGTCCTTAACCATCCTTTCTCTTCCTGCAACCATCTACTTTAGTCACTACAGACCTTTCAGCTTCTGCAATAATTGAGGCTGAAGTACTACAAATAAATACGTCTCCTTCACCCCTGATTCTGTCTGTTCTCACAGACTGCCCTAAGGCATATGCACTAGGGGGCTAAATTAAGGGTACACAATCTTAATTTTAGTATGAAACAAAAAACAGGACAATGTAGCACTTTAAAGACTAACAAGATGGTTTATTAGGTGATGAGCTTTCATGGGCCAGACCAACTTCCTCAGATCAAATAGTGGAAGAAAATTGTCACAACCATATATACCATTTGGGCCTGGCCCACGAAAGCTCATCACCTAATAAACCATCTTGTTAGTCTTTCAAGTGCTACATAGTCTGGTGTACCTGAAACAAAAAAACAGGACTAACACGGCTACATTTCTATCACTTAATTTTAATAAAAACTTTTAGTCCTTGATTTTGCAACTTTTTAATTTAACTTTTTTGGTAATTAAATATATTTCATATAGAACATAGTGTTGACTAGGTCAAACTTCAGAGATGAAGGTGGATCTCTGTTCAATGACAGCCAGTATATAAAGGCTTCAGAAGGGTAGCCGAGTTAGTCTTTAAAGTGCTACCAGACTATTTGTTGTTTAAGTTTTTCCTGTTACAGCCTAACAAAATATGTAGATGCTTTTGTGGACACAGCCCACTTCTTCATCTGTGCTCACGAAAGCTCATACCACCACCTGCATATTTAGCCAGTATATAGTTTTTTTTAAAATGCATTCCCTCTGATTCATTTACTTTGCACTTACATGAAGTAGGAGATTGTTAATGATTCCAAAGCTGTTGCAAGTTCAGATAGTAGTTACTTTATTATTAGTAATAATAATTTGGTTCCTTAAAGAGATTACTTACGAATGCACTAGATTTCATGTTAAAACATACCTCCTGTTTTGCTCTTTGTCAGAAATGTATGGGGAAGTGCTAAAATTTAGCATTTAAATATGCCACTGTATTTTGCAACCCCATGAGCTGTAGAGATGGGATTATTGTAAAGAGTCTTCTGTATTCAGACAAAAGTAAAATTGTGTGACTGCTGAATGAGGAACATCTGGATTTTCAAGGTAGGGGTATATGAGGGGTAGTGATAATTATACCTCATGGTTGCTTACAGGAGCCAGCTCCACTGTATGATCTAGCTATGCTAGCCTTGGAGAACACTGAAAGTGGATGGACAGAAGAAGATGGTCCAAAGGAAGGACTTGCTGAATATATTGTTGAGTTTCTAAAAAAGAAGACTGAAATGCTGAAAGACTATTTCTCTCTTGATATTGATGAGGTGACTACTGCTTTTTGCTTTGGTGTCAAAAGGTTATTTGTATAATCCTTAAATATTGGTAATGTACAGTAAAACTCCGATAGTCCGGCATCCAGCTTTTTGGCACTCCCAATACTCCAGCATCCAAAATGCCAAGCGCTCCTGACCAGCTGATTAAAAAGCCTGCCACTCAGCACACGTGCTGGCTGTAACCAGACGGAGCATAAGGTGGGGGGGAGTGGGATTGGGATCGTGTTACAGTATGGAGAAGAGCATTTCGCTTCAGCAAAGGGGAAAGGAGAGGGGAGAGGCAGGAGGATCAGGTTACAGCACAGAGGAGACGGGGAGGGGAGAGGAAGGGAGATTGTGTACTGGCCAGCTGTTAAGCCATGCAGCTGTACCCAACCTCCCGATTCTCCGGCACCACCTAGGTCCAAAAGGTGCCGGATTATCGGAAGTCTACTGTACAAGGGAAAGCCATAATATTTGCTATAAGATTAGCACCAACCTAATAAATGCTATCACTTACTAAATAGAAAACAGCAGTGTGTTGGTATGTCTAGTAAATATATTTTTAAGACCATAGATATTTCAATATGTAAAGAAAATGTTATGCTTACAGGATGGAAACCTTACTGGATTACCACTCCTTATAGACAACTATGTTCCACCATTGGAGGGACTACCTATGTTTATCCTTCGCTTAGCCACTGAGGTATGGTCAAAACTAACTGTTCAGCAGTTAGTTAATGGGAAAGTTAATTTAGCCTACAAATATTATCTTTTCTTTGTTATTTATTAGGAAATGTGATTTTTTTTTAAAGATATGCTCTAAAATCTAGTAAGTGGCAGGAATACAATAATTCAGCCACTGAGAAATTCACCAGAAGAGTTTATATATGTTTTTAGACCCTGTCCTGACAGAAACAATTGGTGCAAAAGTTTAGCTGGCCATATTCTTGCCTCAAATGACCATACACAGTATTTTAAAATGGTCAATGTAGTAATTAAGGGTAAATTGTTGACATGTGCCTTGCTGTAAGTTTCTCTTCTAAAAGAAAAAGTGCACTCATTGCTTAAGAACATTCACAGATATTAACTATATAAGAATACATTACAACGAATGTTTAGAAAATTTTAACAGGTCTTATTTTTAAAGACAGGCAGACTTGTACTCTATTCCTTGCTTCTTTGTATCCTAACGTTGTACCAACAAATAGTCAAGACAGTAGCCTATTTTTACTTCTAATTAACTGGGCTTCAATTTGACTGACTAGTAATTAGCAATAATGTTCTTTCAAAACTACTGTTTCAAGTACGGCATGGACATCCCTGATCTGGCACCGTGTGGACTTTACCAGTCATGAAGCAGAAAGTTTGCTAGACGAAAGGAGGTCAAGGTCGGGCTCTCTGCTGCTAGACTCTAGGCCAGTGGTTCCCAAACTTTTCGGCATCATGCCCCATTTTTGAGAAACCATAACGCCACCCCTCCTCCCCCAATAGCAGCAAAACTTGTCAATTAAAAAAAAAAAACACACACCTGACCAGGACTGAAAAACAAAAATAGCACCAAAACTTAGGGGGAGGAATTGACATGGGGGGGCTGGGTTGCCTCGTGCCCCCCCTCCCCCGCCCCGAATTTTAGCATGCTTCAGTTTGGGAACCCATGCTCTCTGACCTGGCAACATCTGTGATCCTGCTGTACTTGTTTTCCCTGTGAGTGCTCCAACCCTGGAACACCCACAGGGTCCCCTACCATGCCAGACCAGAGTGTCCTGAACTAGAGATGTTCAATCTGTACTGAAACAAATGTCTGCTCTTAACAAGTTTGTTTTTACAGGTAAACTGGGATGAAGAAAAGGAATGTTTTGAAAGCCTCAGTAAAGAATGTGCCATGTTTTATTCCATTAGAAAGCAGTATATAGTGGAAGAATCTGACTTGACTAACCAACAGGTATAGTAACTGGATATGCTGCTGCAGTCACCTGGGTAAATCCTTGTGTTGAATACTAAAAACCTTTTAAAGATGACGTCATGACAACTCTCCCATTCTATGGAATCGGGTGAACTGTGCAGCAGGTTCTGTAAGAATACACAGGCTTATCCTCCAAAGAAAGCTGCTCTTACAAGGCCAAAGGAATTTGCATACTTAGAAAAATCATTAAATAGATCTCCTGCATGTTTAGAAATAAAACTTCCTGCAAATGTCTAAAAACATTGCCCCATAGGTTTTCTACGGAATTTTATTTCCTGAAGACTACCTGGTATGTGGACCTTTAAAAAGTGCATGTTCTGATGAATTGTTAAATGCCTAAATATTTTTTTTAAGTGTCGAATCTGTATCATTACAGTATCGACTCAGGACTTTCCAAAAGTTGACTAATCACATTGTGCAGAGTTTGTTTCCTCTGAATAATGCCAAAGCGATATTAATACCACCTTAATATTAATCTTGCCTTAGTTCTCTGGTTTGTGAGACTGCATCTCTAGCTGTTAAAGACATTCTGATGAGAGATACAGGAATTCTAATCCACTTTGGGCCAAGAATGTGTGTGCATGAGTTCTTCCATTTTTGTCCCTCTCCTCTCCCCCAGGTGTATATAAGACATGTCAAAATATACACAGAAGGATGGAGGGGGTGGGTAAAGTGGATAACACTGAGACTAAGGCTGTTGAGACACATGTCATTTTAGAGTATATTACACTAAGAGTTCTATATAAAACAGGAAATAATTGTTCTGCTCTACTTTAAAGGAAAGAGCCATCAGCTGGAATATTGTATCTGGTTTTGGCACCACACTTAAGTATGTGGTCTAACTAGAGCATCCACAGGAGAATTACATAAAAAGGCTTAGAAAACATGACCTGTAAAGAACGGTTAAACTGGCTTTGTTTAAATGAGAAGGCTGAGAGAGATTTATAAATCCTGAGAATTTTAAGGGTTGTTATAAGGATGGTGGGGAGTTATCCATGTCTAGGGAGGGTAGAACAAGTAGTAATGGGCTTAGGTTTGATATTAGGAAGAACATTCCAAGGAAAGGTAAAGCAATGAAAGGTTTCCTGAAGCTACCATGCAGTCCCCTCACTGGAGATTTTTAAGAACAGAGCAGGCAAACTCGGGATGTTAAATTTGCAGTTATCCAATTAATTGTGTAGATACAATTTGTATCTACTACATGATTACTTGCTAAGGACTGCTCTGAAGAACAGCAATGGGGACTGAGTAGTACTAGGAGCTGGGACTCAGTAGTACTTTTATTTTAGTACTTCAGAGCTTACAAAATCTATTTAGTCCTATTTCTTGTTGAGCTAGTCACACACACATTTGTTTACATTTGCAGGAGAAAATACTGCCATCTTTTTTGGAATGGAAAAATCCCCCAGAATAGTTAACTAACTAGTTAACCATTGGTGGTTGTCCCAGCCCTACCATGGCCTTAGCAAAGGGGGGGCTGACTTGTGAACCTTTCACATCCCTGCTTTTTTTTTTTTATAAACAATAGTATCTGAAAGGTATTGGCATGACACTGTTGAAGCCAGCATCACAAGATATTTAAATGTCAGCTATGCGCAAGAGTCCAATGCCCGCTGGTGGTTTCAAACACCGTTCCAGAGCGTATGTCCATGTTGACAATAGGTTCTGCTTGATAAAATTCTAATGCAGTGCAGACTGATTCATATTCACGGAGTCAGATGCCACTGAAGTTTCTGTATCAGCATGTTGCCCTTTTAAGACTTCTGAAACCATACTCCACACCTTGTCCTTCTCAGATTCTTAAACCTTGGATTGAATGGCATTAGAAATTTCAAATTGGTACCTTTGCATTTGTCAGATCTGCAGTGAAAGTTTCTTCAAATGAGCAACATGACTCATCCAAGACTACTATAGCATGAAATATGACAGAATGCATATGAAAGAGCAAGAGACAATCTTCCCCTAAAGAGATCAGTCACAAATGTAATGAGTTTTTTAACTAGCATCATCAGCATCGAAGTATGTCCTCTAGAATGCTTGCCAACCAAAGCATGATCTGGCATGTAAATACTTTGTAGCCAGCACTGCAAAGTATCATGCAACTGCCTACTCTCACTTTCCAGTGACACTGAAAATAAGTGGATAGCCTTCGATTCAGTAAACATAAACTTGTTTGGCTTAGCAGTTGGGCAGAATGAGAAATAAAACTAAATAGGTGCTAAAGTTTTACAGTGTTTTGTAAGTTATACTTTCACAAGAGATTTTACTACAATAGTTGTATGAGGTGACTTGAAAAAATACTATTGTCAATTTTAGTGCAAAGATTTGTAAAAAAATATAAAGTAAGCACTACATTGTTTTAACTGAAATCAATATTTGAAAATGTGGAACCATCTAAAAATGATAAATCATGACTAAAGTTAATTGCAATTAACTGACAACCCTGATACTTAACTATGCATAATTAACCCCTTTTAAAAAACTCTTTACTGTAAAGTACTTCTGGTACTAGGTTAAGCATCTCTGTTGCAGAAGGAACCCATGTTCTCCTTTCAGAGTAAGCACTTAATATAGGGGAATAGGCTAGTTTTTATTTTTCCACACCATGCACTGGAAATCACTGAAAAGTATTTGAACTCTCTAAAATTCCTTCATTTTTTTTCTTTCAGGCTTTAGAGGTTGGATCTGGTTCAACATCATGGAAATGGACAGTGGAACACATTATTTACAAAGCTTTTAGGACCCACCTTTTGCCTCCTAAACACTTCACAGAAGATGGCAACATTTTGCAGCTTGCTAATCTGCCAGACCTGTACAAAGTTTTTGAGAGGTGTTAAATACCAGCAGACCAGAGCTAGATGAGTAATGGAAGAAAGGAGATTGTTATACTGCCTTTTAGCAAAGAGTTCTCGTTTCAGAAATAAAACTGGCCTGTATTCAATTACTGTAGCTATTTAATGTAACTTAGTGCAACACTGCACCAACCATGTTGAAAGCTTCCCTCCCACTCAGAATGGAGCTGAGGTGCCTCAACAGGGAGATTCCTTATTTCCAAAAGGTTAACTTATTATAGAGAAATGTATAAAGCTGTCCTCCTGTTGCTGAAAGAAGTGGACTGATCCTGCAGTAATCAAAGCAGCTTCAGGAATTAAATGAAATTGCTCTGGTCCTAGTCACTATTCCTGTAGAGTAATATATATATATATTCTTCTTCAAGGTAAAGTAAACCGTTTAAGAACAGTGGTACATGACAGCAAGGTTCATACTACTTAGATTCTGCTACAGTCAAATATCAAAGTTTAGGGGAGAAAAATAGCTATGACAATCCTGTACAATTAGAGATGACAGAAAAATAAATATTTTTACAGTATCATTTACTTGAGGTCACAGCTCAAAGTTTTAAAGTATTAAAAAAACTCAAAGTTTTAAAGTAATAAATGTAAGTACATTGAATGCCCTTTAAGATCAGTGATAGAAACGTGGCCCTTTAAGATCAGGAATGTTTACTGGAGTATATTGCAGAATGTCAAGGGTACCTGTGATCAGGTTGGTTTAAATGCCTCCATAGATTATAGATCCTGAAACAGCTTTAAGATAATATATAAAAAAGCCACTCATTTCTGGACAGTACCATGTCCATTTAATGAACTCAGACATTGCCTCACCCTTCCTTTCATTCTAAAGTTCCATTCCAGAATTTAGCAGCTGCTATACAATTTACAAAGTATAATAAAACATCTTCCATGACTAAATCCTTATTTTTGATATTAAGCGTAGCAGAGCTAGTACTTTCTTGGCAAAACAATCCAGAACTCAGATATGCTATCACCCATGCAAAAAAGCATGTTTTATAATAGTCCCTATTTTTATTTGTACGTAAATTTAAATATTTTACAAAATGCAGCTTTCCATCAAAATTTATAAACTTTAATGAACAGATCTCCAAATTGTATCTTAAAATAAATGTTATCTGATTTCAAAGGTTAGATCTAACATATTTGAAATCTAAATTGAACCATATAGAAGGCACTTGTGCTGTGTGATGTCTTGAGCAAGTACACTTTGTAAATTTCCAATAGACAGTGTCCTCTTGAATTCATGCAGTCATCTTCAAGCATTAAAGCAGCTGAAAAAAGTTAAGTAAACTTGATTCCACAGTTGTGAAAACAAATGTTTTCTAGTAATAAGTCAATCATACAGCATTGTGCTCCAGCTCTGACTCTACAATTAAACTGCTAAATAAAAATCACCATCATTCGCATAGGAATTCAAATTTTTCATTCTCTCATAAGTTACAAAAAGTATGCCATTTAATTCTGCAACTACATTATTGAACAGCTCAGTGTTCAAATAGTTTGTGCCAATGAACGTCTGTATTAAAACAAGTTAAGGGCTAGTTATTTCAGGGAGCAGTGCACAACTGGTTCCATTTTCCAAACATTTCTTCTACTGTTGAGATAGAAGTGCAGTCCTGTTTGCCTTCATCTTCTCCAGTCTTTTTACCAAGTGACTATTGGTCATCTCCATCTCTTCTATCTTATCAAGTGCTGTTCTTAACTAAAATGAAAACAAAAAAATACATTCAGTTTCAAAGTAACTGCAGCTGGCTTTACTTTAATGTCCTGTATTGATGTGATTAGCATATATTAAGAGGTATTTTGTTTAGGATCACAACTAGTCATCTATAACTGATCTAGTTGATGGGCAGACATCTGAGATGACAGGGGTATGACAGTTATGCCTTGTACAATAGCTCCCATTCCATCCCATTGTTTGCATAATTTAATGAAATGCCATATTTGGCTCCCCGGAGAAGGGACTTTGGGTAGTTTATCTTGAACACTAAAGGTGGTTCTAGCATGCCCATGACAACACAGATTGATCCTTTGATTCCTGCAGAGCATGGCTCTGCTCACCCAAATGGTCCAGGTTAGGAGAACACCTTTATGTAAAGGTGAAGTTACTTCAAAAGGTGTCTGGGATATATGCACTGCAGACAGCAGAATAAAAGCAATACTCCCAAAATTGTCTTTGCTGTCTTCCTCTTGCTATCTCCCTCTTACAATGTTGAGAACTATCCTGTGTTTTATCTGTCTCCTCATTGATTGACAGTGGGTAGCTGTCAGGTTGAGAGCATGTAGCCACTTTCCTCTGAAAGAGGCACGATTCCCAAAGACACCATTCTTAACTCTTAAAACACAAATTGAGAAATTTGACATTAACAGGAGTACTCAAACCCATGCATTTTAAATGACAAAATACCTGAATGCTGTTCTTTTCCTCTTATCACTTTCGTAGCCAAGAAAAGGCTTAAGTGAAAAACACATTTGTATCACATCTTGAAGACTCAAGGGCTGTGTCTACATTGGCACCCTTTTCCGGAAAAAGGATGTTAATGAGACCAGTCGGAATTGCAAATGCCGCAGGGGATGTTTAAATATCCCCCGCGGTATTTGCATGAACATGGCTGCCACTTTTTTCCGCGTTTTATTTAAGAAGGAATTTAAGAGGAATAAGGGATCTTCCAGAAAAGGCTTTATTTTCCAAAAGATCCCATCTAGACTGGCACTTTTCTCCGGCAAAGCCCCGAGCCGGAAAAAAGCGGCAGCCATGTTCATGCAAATACCGCGGAGGATATTTAAAGCCTCCGCGGCATTTGCAATTCCGACTGGTCTCATTAGCATCCCTTTTCCGGAAAAGGGTGCCAATGTAGACACAGCCAAGGAGAAAAGTGAGGAATTTTAAACATATCTTTTGTGAGGATTTGAACAAAGTCTGCAGATACAGGTTTCCTTGATGTTGGCAACATCTTCACAGGTGAAATAATAACCAAGAGCAGCTGAATCTGGCATTGATATTCATAGATATGCATGGCTCTGATCATCAAGCCTTCAAACAAAAATCCATCAAACTGAGGATTTTCTGGAACATTTCTTCCTGGCAATAATTAGATTCCTGGGCTTTTGAGTTGCAGTACTATAGAAATATATTTTCTGTCCTTGTGAGGAACCACATCTGAGGGAACCAAGGGTTCTGTTAGCAGTAAAAGAATCTTAAGTCATTCTCCCACTGGAACATCCTTTAGGACGAGACTTGCAGGGTTAGCACCTTGTCCCAAACCTGGAGGTTTTCATTGCTCATGGTAAGGGCTTCTGAGCTGAGACACATGGGCATCAGACTACAAAATGTGCACACTTAAATGTGCTATATAACACATTGGCTTCTTAGATGTTCTCATCTGTTGCACCTTCTATAGATGGTAGATGAGGTTAAAGATTAAGCCAAAGACCCGAGAAAACTAGATGGTTTTAGTTTCTTCAGAATTAATGAAATTTGCCTCCACTTCCAGCTTCTCACTTCAATGCAGACAGTGAGTTGTGGAATACACATCTGCATCACATCTTGACGAATCAGTTACAGTAACCAGCCTTTCCTTAGAATAGGTGTAATTGTGTATTTCACTTAAGTGATTCATAAGCAGAATCTCTTCCAGGAAGCAGGGCTTGGAGTTTACCTAGGCAAGAATTGCAGAACCATTCTTCTGAAGCTTGCATCTACCTTAGAAGAGGAAGTAATGGCATAATGGTTCATAAATGGACATATGCAGGGCTGTTCATCCATATATACACAATATGGAAATGTCGCTGAAGAATATTTGATATGGTTTATGCTCTCAAAGGAGCTCACTGATACAGGATTTTAGTTGAGAGGTGATTGTGAAGATATCAACTGATTCTTCATATGATGAAATAGGGCACAGTAGAGCACAGGATGGCTTTATCCTATACATATAGAAGACCTGACATTGTGTGACATCTAATGTGTACAGGTGCTGCTGCTGTGGAGACTAATGTGGCTTAGGAAAGAACACAGAAAAGGATACTGCCCAGTTCAAATGAAACTGAGAAACCACTTTGACCACACCCAAAAATTTTGTCTACAGTCACCTTACTAATGTGTAAAGAGGCTTGCCATCAGATCCTGCCACTCACACCACTCTTGATGGATGTTATCACTACCAGGAACAACATTTTCTGACATAAGAAAGGGACCAGATGCTAGCAGCTCAAAGACAGGAACCACTAGGAGAATGTTACGGTCCCACAGAAGAACTTGCTTTCAGACCATAGGATGTACCTAAAGAAACCCTTTTGCAGAACTTCCTTCATCACCAACAGAAAGGAAACCTATTCAAGGAACAGTATCTCAAGAATGGTGTCAAAGACAAAGAGGAGAGGTAGAAAAGAACTGGATGGCATAGCCCAATCTGATGGTGCTTAGGACCCAGTTGGCAGTGATGATGAAGTCCCAAGCACCGTGAAAGAAGACCAGCTTATCCCCAAATAGAGGGGAAGAGAAGGACAACTGGAATTTTGCCTTGGATCAAGGAATCAAACTGGGTGCTTTTGGAAAGGACATGTGGACAGTTTGAACCCCAAACATGACTGCTTCTGATGGATCTAGACCAGTGGTCCCCAACCTGTGGAGGTTGCCGGGTGCCAGGGGGCGTGGCCGTTCGCCCGCCGGGCGCCAGAGGACAGGGACACTTGCGCACCCGGAGGCGGGGACCCCCATAGCCGCGTGCCTTGGGGCAGGGCCCCCACATGCACCGTGCCATGCGCCCGGGCCGGTGCCCCTTCCAAGATTCTGTGCCAATCTAGACGCTCTGTTCCGAAAATGCTTTTAACGGAAAACTTTTCTGTTAAAAGCATTTCCCGGAAATCTTGCCAGTCTAGACATAGCCGTAGTGTCTGAAATAGATTAAAACCGCGTGAACGCCAAAAGATCACAGACAAAACAGCTGCTGGTCACTTTCTGGGGTAGTCACAGTGTCTTGGAGGAGAGAAAAGCTACTCAAACGAGTGCTGTATACAATACCCTGATTGTTGCTAAATGCTGCCATAGAATCTCTGCACCACCAGTGTATACACTGCCTCATGGTGGCTTTAGAATCCTCAAAGGAGTGCAGAATTTTGTTGTTTTAATCTGAGAATAGTCCCTGACCACTGATGGGCAAATTTGCAATGGTGTATGGCCCCTGGGGCACAATGCATGAATTCAGCAACCGATTTGACCTCTTCCTGATCACAACAGAGACCATCACTTTGGCTGAAGCATCTGATACCCAGCACAGACTGCGAAACCACCTTAGCAACTACCAGCCTTCAGTGACAAATGACCAAAATTATTCCCTCAGCCTTGGACAGCTTGTCTTGCACAAAGGTGTACTTGTACAAAAACACTTGCTGATTAGTTATTTGAATATGCAAGAGAAATAGGATGTAAATCTTCTTGCCACTCAGGTCTCATAGAATCATAGGACTGAAAGGGACCTCAAGAGGTCATCGAGTCCAGCCCCCCGCCCTCAAGGCGGGACCAAGCTCCGTCTACACCATCCCTGACAGATGTCTATCTAACCTGTTCTTAAATATCTCCAGAGAGGGAGATTCCACCACTTCCCTTGGCAATTTATTCCAATATTTGACCACCCTGACAGTTAGAAATTTTTTCCTAATGTCCAATCTAAACCTCCCCTGCTGCACTTTAAGCCCATTACTCCTTGTCCTGTCCTCAGTAACCAAGAGGAACAAATTTTCTCCTTCCTCCTTGTGACACCCTTTTAGATATTTGAAAACCACTATCATGTCCCCCCTTAATCTTCTTTTTTCCAAACTAAACAAGCCCAGTTCATGAAGCCTGGCTTCATAGGTCATGTTCTCTAAACCTTTAATCATTCTTGTCGCTCTTCTCTGTACCCTTTCCAATTTCTCCACATCTTTCTTGAAATGTGGCACCCAGAACTGGACACAGTACTCCAGCTGAGGCCTAACTAGTGCAGAGTAGAGCGGCAGAATGACTTCACGAGTTTTGCTTACAACACCCCTGTTGATACAACCTAGAATCATATTTGCTTTTTTTGCAACAGCATCACACTGTTGACTCATATTCAACTTGTGGTCCACTATGACCCCTAGATCCCTTGCCGCCATGCTCCTTCCTAGACAGTCGCTTCCCATCTTGTATGTATGGAACTGATTGTTCCTTCCTAAGTGGAGCACTTTGCATTTCTCTTTATTAAACCTCATCCTGTTTACCTCTGACCATTTCTCTAACTTGCTAAGGGCATTTTGAATTATGTCCCTATCCTCCAAAGAAGTTGCAACCCCACCCAGTTTGGTATCATCTGCAAACTTAATAAGCGTACTCTCTATCCCAATATCTACATCATTGATGAAGATATTGATTAGTACGGGTCCCAAAACAGACCCTTGAGGAACTCCACTTGTTATCCCTTTCCAGCAGGATTTAGCACCGTTAACAACAACTCTCTGACTGCGGTTATCCAGTCAATTATGCACCCACCTTATCGTGGTCCTATCTAAGTTATATTTGCCTAGTTTATCAATAAGAATATCATGCGAGACCGTATCAAATGTCTTACTAAAGTGTAGGTATATGACATCCACCGCTTCTCCCTTATCCACGAGGCTCGTTATCTTATCGAAGAAAGCTATCAGATTAGTTTGGCATGACTTGTTCTTCACAAACCCATGCTGGCTATTCCCTATCACTTTATTACCTTCCAAGTGTTTGCATATGATTTCCTTAATTACCTGCTCCATTATCTTCCCTGGGACAGACGTTAAACTGACCGGTCTGTAGTTTCCTGGGTTGTTCTTATTCCCCTTTTTATAGATGGGCACAATATTTGCCTTTTTCCAGTCTTCTGGAATCTCCCGTCTGCCATGATTTTTCAAAAATCATAGCTAAAGGCTCAGATACCTCCTCTATCAGCTCCTTGAGTATCCTGGGATGCATTTCATCAGGACCTGGTGACTTAGAGTCCTTCTCCTTACAAGTGGACTTAAACCTACCATTGGGCTCTATCATTCATCACTGTTATCACCAAGGAGCTTGGAACTGGATGTGAATAAAACCCCTCAAATTCCAACCAGAAACCAAGCAACACTTTTCCATATGCTTAGCTGAAGGTGTTTCTGAAGCCAGCATGCTCCAGCGAACCTTTGTAAGCTCACAGGACACAATGTTAATAGGGTGATTAACTCTCCCAGGAGTAGAGAGCTGCAGGATATCCACTAACTTGTGAGTGTTCTCTACAGAAACTCCACGTGCATATCCAGGAAGGCAGGTGCCACAACATGTCCTAATGTGTCTTGCAATCCCCCAGTGCTGCATGGAGGAAGAACATGGCACTGCAGAATCAGTATCATCTGGAGATGAGGATAAGGAAGTTAAGTGTGCCCATGCCAGAGCCCGTTCCAAGGTTGAACTACTTGGGCAGAACAATTTGGGAGGCTTTGAGGGGAAGCCTCACCAGTGCTTGGATCTGTGACTGATCGATGATCACCACTACAGACCTGGCTGGGGCTTTCTACCTCAAGACAGGCTGAGGCGTAGGACTTTTGTGACTGAGGAGTGTCCCACACCTTCCATGGAGGAGGAAGAGCTGTGACAGCGGATCAAAGGTTTGATGCATTCAGAATAAACGTTGAAGTTTAGCTTGGAGACACTCTGGTCTTTGCTCTGGAATCAAGCTTTTAAGACTTCAATCACATCTTCCATGAACATGCTGATGACTTCCAGAAAGTTTATCAAGCACTAGATCCCAAAAAGTATGTCTACACCAGTGGTCCCCAACACGGTGCCCGCGGGTGCCATGGCGCCCACGGGCGCATTTGTGTGCACCTGCCAACAACCTGGGCTGCCCCCCCTCCGGCGCGCAGCGCACTGGAGGCGCCGGCCCCAGGCACACACCACACACCAGCGCCTGGTGTGTGGTGCTCGGGCGGCCCCAGCCCCGGGGCACATGAGGGCGCCAGCCCCAGGCGCGCGGTTCAGGCAGCAGCGCTGGCACAAGGCACTCGGGCGGCCCTGGTCCCGGCCCTGGGGCACATGCCAGCGCCAGGTGCAAGGGCATCCCCGCCCCTGGCATGCCCCAGGATGCGTGGTCCCGCACCTGGGCGCCCGGCGCATGAGTGGCCCCGCCCCCGGGAGCCTCTAAAGGTTGGGGACCACTGGTCTACACTATAGTTGGGAATGAGACTGCTGCAACTTCTAAGTAGTGTGTTAGAAATAGCACTGTGGATGTGGCAGTTTGAGAGGCTAGCGAGTAGTCGAATAGTCAACTACCTGATAAGCATAAGTTGTATTGACTACTTGCTCTTCCCCCACTTGCTACCTCAGAGCCTGTTCTCTCACCCTCCCTCTCCTCCCAGCATCATCTCTGCAGTGCTGCTTCCCTCTCCCACTCCCCCCACCTCTATCAGAGGCAGCAGAGGAGGGGAAAAATAGGGACAGAATAGGCCACAGTGGGCTGAGGCTCGCCATAAGCAGAGGCTGCTCCAGCAGCAGGTCCTGTCTTGGGGGGTCCCAGCTGGGCTGCCCACCTGTAGATGGGGCTGCTGCTCTAAAGAAGCCCCTGTCCGTGGACAGTCCAGGCTGATTTGAACAGGGGCTGCTAGACTCAGCACAAGCCGGGACCGAACTGTCTTGGCTTGCGCTGGTCTGGGATGCTGCACCCTGGCAGCTCTAACTACATTTAAAATGCAGAGGTACAGTGCAAGTGGTTCCCAGAGCTGGCAGGAGCTGGGACTGCTTAGTCCTGGCTCCAGTCAACTGGAGCTACCCCACTGCAGTTCTGTACAGCGGTCCTTATCAACTTATTGTGCAGTCGATTCAAATAGTATCGACTACACGATTAGTTAGAAAATTGCAATTTAACATCCCTAGTTGCTAACCCAACTCCTTGGTTCCAAGCTTGGGTGACATGATGCATGCTCTCAAGTACAGTATAGACATATCCTGAGACCTAATAATCAAAACATCTCTCACCCTGGTCATTGTCAGACAATGCAATAACGTCTACTGCTGAGTAACAGGGTTCAAATTAGTCCAGAAGCTTTTGAAAGGTATTAAGGAAGCCTTCTTTCTACCATTCCCTAAAAGTAGTAACAGAAGAAAAACAAAAAAAAGCCATAGTTTGGAGCTGTATCTCAAAGAGTCATGGACTTCTTAGCTAAAAGAAAGTACTTAGGTAAAATGCTCCAGACTGGGAACAAAGCTCAAACAAAAATGGAATAAGTCAAGGTCTCAATGAAGACAAGAGCTTCAGAAAGTTAGGTGGGGGCAGGTATCTTGTTACTTCAACTGAAGAAAAAACAAAATCAAAAACAGTTTGTCAATGCATGGAAAGGAAACCTTTTACCCAATGCTCCTAAGTTAGCTCAAATTTGACAGTAAAGATTAAAAGGTGGCAATAATGGAAGTGGACATAACTCATTCAAGGAACTAATTGCACTGATGATGAATTAATATGACGAAGATGTTATTACGAGGATATCGAAGAGGTTAAAGAAAAGATATCAGAGGAGAAACTGCTACAGAATAGGAGAGCATTGACATAAGCTTAAAACAATTGCCAAGGAAATGCTTGCAGATCTGACAGTAATAGTCAGAAATATGATCTAGAAATACAGTAGGCCAACCTCAGGTGCATGAGACTTCATAGCGAAGAAAAAGTTCTTTATGACCATTTGTAGTTCTAACTCTGACTGTTCACAGAATTACTCCCATAACACTAAAAATATGAAATATTCATAGGCATTTGGTTTTACCCAATGAAAAGTCTATCACATTTACTTTGAAAAGAAAATTAAGTTGATTACCTCTCGCTGAAGTCTCCTCTTTTCTGCTTTGAGTTCGTCTTCTATTTTTTCTGCATTCTCTGCTGCAGTTTTATATCTTATTACTTGTCCTTCAAGTCTTCCAATCTACAAACCAAGAAACCACCAAGAAAAATGACTGCTGACTTCTTTATAATGGGACAGGCTACCCACATGTCTGTCCTCCCCTCTCCTATGTGGCACTCCACAGCACTGCTCCCTGCATTATCTGTAGCACCCTCAGCATGAGAGGTGGTGGTGTCAGCATGTAGAAGTAGCTGTGATTGCAAAGAAAGGGAAACGTCAGGGTTTAAAGAAAAAGGGGACAGCAAAACAAGAGTCCCGTTGAAGAAGAAACACCAGAGAAGACCCCACTGTCTCTTTCTTCATGGTGAGACAGCAGGGAGTGGATCAAGAAGGGAAGAGTACTGGTGACAAA